CTACATTTCCATAAGATATAGGCAAAAAGAGTCCAAGAGAAAATGTGAATGCAATGCTTTCATACCATCTTTTACACATTCCAATAACAAGTATTTAATCTTTTAGACCAGAGCGGCAATGTATAATGAGTGAAAAAGTGACATAGCACTTAAGTGATTTCTGCAACCTGCAGTTCACTGAGCATGCAGAGATTTCATTATAAAGTCACAAGTGATTGAAAATGTAATATATGTAAGAAGTAATGTGTTGTGTGAACAATTGATAAATCTGAAAATAGGACATATTTGGGGCATACAATCCCTTACATCTAGGATTTTTCTGGAGAGTTTAATAACTAATCCCACACATTTTACCTTACCACACATATTTATAAACAAAGAGCAAGGATAGTGCTGACAAAATCCATTTTTGAAGAGAAAAAAATGTGAGAAACTACTGCAAGTTAATAAGCAGAAGGTCTGTTTATCACTGAAATAGTAACATCTCAGAGTCAGAAAACTGAAAATACAAGAACAGGCTTGTATGATGTATAGCCACAGCTTTTTTGACCACGAATAAAAATCTACCATGTCCTGTACTTTCAGGTGAGGGAATACAAGCTAAAGATTACATATAACTTTCCATGTTGGTGCTATTCATTCCTCACCTAACCTGACATGGAAACATTGATTTTGATTACAGTGTTCCTGGCCCATAGCATGAAAAAGGGGCACCCTGCCACTGTTTTCCAGGTGCAGCGCAATAGCCTGAATTTATCTGAGAGAACTTTAAGAGCACTTATGGAAATTCAGGTACTTATAAAACTTAAAACTCATTTCCAAAACTTTAATATCATGAAAATCAAAGAATCATTTGTTATCCAAATGTATTCTAGATATCCTCAAAGTTGGGAATCTTTTCCCAAGTTGGAAATATTGAACAATAGAATAATCGAATCTTCCAAAAATCAAATCTGTTACTTGTATGGTCCTCAGTTTTATGAAATAATTGGGATCATCAAGAAGAATTCTCTCCCCTCCCTGGGAAGAGATTATGGTATTTGAAGAAATGCAATTTCCTCCACTCTTTCTGTTGATCTTTATTAATTCCTGGTCTTCTAAAAGTATTGCAATAAATTTTGGATTGCTAGGTAGAAACTTGAAATCCAAAACCAGTAAATTTTCTTTCCACATGTTGAAAGCACTGCTTAATATATATGGAGTAATAAAAATATCCTTTAAAAATAGCAACAAAAATCATTTCAGTGCAAGCAAAAGTGATGTTGTACATTTACCTGCTTGCTGATGTTTTTCTAGACTCAAACCCAAAAATTAATCTGGGACAGACCATGCCAGGCTAACGAAGGCTTTAAAAAGTCAGTGCTAAATTGTTTTCTAGCATGTTTATGTTTTCTAGCATTTCACCAGGTTGGACACTCTTCTTGAGTTCATTGACTTGCGTCCAAAAACATCATTAGTAAAACACTGCTTAAGTGGATTCTTTCTAGGTCTGTCTGACCACAGAGCCTGAGAGGAGGCTGCCTTTGCTTCCTCTGCTACTGGCTTCAGCTAAAACCCCTCTGATATCTCTAAAAACATAGGGAGCAAATTTGCCTAAAGTCAGACTGGGGAATATCTATTGATTTTAATAAAGTTTAGACAAGTCATCAAAGAGAACCTTCTCCTGTGCTCTCTGAACATTTGAATTTATGTTGTAAACTCCATCAATACTGACAAAATAAATAGCCTCTTAAAGGCTATTATGGCTACTTAGATGAAAGAAATATGATAATATTTATAAGTACAGCTAATCAGTGTTGCAAGCCTTACTAATGTTTCCGGAGTAGTTGCTCCATTGAAGTGTTAATCACGATTTCTCTGATTATCAGCAATTGTTTAAAAAATAAAAACATGAAGCAAACAAGATAAATATTCTTCCTTGGTAATCAGATCAAAGATGAAAGGGGAATTGAGTAATGGTCATTATTCTGTGGAGTATTAATATTTGACTTAAATTTTTCAAGAAACTGCTTGAATGATGCTGTTTGTGCAGTCTTTTGCTGAAAACAAAAAAAAGAGAAGACCCTTTTAAAAGAGTTTATTATTTTGAGCTGTAACACTTACAAATCACTTTTCATCTCCTGAGCCCTGAACCAGAGCACAGACCTTTGTTGACCACACCAGCAAAGGATCTGCTACTGTTCCATGTTTCTGTGATGAACTAAACATTTCAGAGGACAGGACCTTGTTACTGCCTTTCCCATCAAACACAGCAAGAATTTTGGGTAGTTGGATCTCATTGTGTTGTTTTGACAGGCAGGGAATCCGATATAGGTAATTTTTAAAATATGCCCAAGTAGCAGAGGGAGTTGGTAGTAGTGGGACTACACCCCAGGAAATCCTGTTTCTGTTTCCAGGATGGTAGTCCTAGCCATTATCCTTTTCCATACTTCAGTAGTGTGACTGCTGCAGACAAATCATCATGTTCTTCCACAAACTAGGCCTGGTGCTACAAAATACTTAATGCATTATTAAGCAAAACATATTCCAAGCCTGTCATTGATTCAGGGCCTACAGTCTTGCAAGAATTATATCATTTATCTTCCTTTTAAGTGGAAAAATTTCCTGGACTCTATTTTCTCTCCATAGAAACTACAGAGAAGCCGAAGTAATTAATGAAAAGTACTGGGGTCGTGTGGACAAGAACAGGGCACACATTCAGCCCTTTCTTCAGCCATTCAGACTAATGGGAAAGAAATATGCTTCTGTGTGGACCATATGACTGGGTCCAGAGGCTGGATTTAATGAATTTGCAGCCCAATCATTTTCCCAAGTGAACTGTCAATTACCAGTGTGAGACAGAAAAGATACTGATTACCTGGGCCAAACTCTGCTCTTGTTTGTGTCAGAACAATATCCCTGATTGCGCTTGCTTCCGTGCGACTGTGGGTTGAGTTTGGCTCTGTCTCCTCGGTTCCCTGGGTTGTCTTTGAACCACAGGAACAGTGCTTTGAGACAGCTACTTGGACAGTCGCTAATGGCAGGAAAATCCACAGTTCTTCAGACATTAAGGCATTGTAAATACTGAAAGAAAATAAATCTGTGTTGTATTTTTTTGGCATACAATGCCTAAAGCCTTATCTCTCATTCTGTCAGGAACCAAGTACTATGTATACAGATGGTGCAATTTATTATGTTCTGTACTGTGACCAAGTGCTGAAATACCTTCAGGAAATCACCAGAAAGCCTGAAAAGCTTTGCTGTCTCTTGTGACTCCAGCTCACTAAAACTATAATTGAATGAGCACAATATATTAAGCCCTGCGTATTACACAGTAGGCTTACAGAAAAGGACGCCATCTTTTTCAGCATCATTACAGAAAATATCTTTGCTGTACAATTACTGTCTATACCCAAGATCTTAATGTCTCTGCCTCTCTGAATTCTGATCTTAGAAAACCACAAGACAGGGATTTACAAACAAATGCCTGGGTTCAACGACTCCACCTCAACTCAGGTGTAGCACCATTAAATTCCAGGGTGCTGTTCTCATTTGTAAAATGCTGCTGGGCCTGATAGTCCTGACATTTTAAAACAGTGCCTGTCGGGGCTGAAATGAATGGACATGAAATGAATGTAACAGTAGTATGAAGAAAGAATTTTAGCTGTGTATCAGTTCAGAGGTTAATGTATTTCTATTCCTGCTTCTCTGAGCAGATTTTTATGAAACTGATGATTAAACTTGGCTGAGTGAGTGCAAGAAATACAAAGGAAAACTAAAGTCAATATTCTCAAACTCATTCATCTCTCAGTATGAAATGTAAACCTTGGAACTAGTATTTTGTTCATACCCATGTGCTTTACTGCATTTGAAACATTGAAAACAAGATCCCTGTGTCATGGACCCAATAACAAATGTTTTATGGTCATCTTGATACCCACAAGGCCCAACTTTCAGCAATAGCCCAATTCACAAAACAGCTGTTTTGCTTTTAGTGCTTCATTGGAAGCAAAACCATCTTCATCCTTGATTTCCTACTGTTTTCTTCCTGTGGTGCCTTGATATTGGAGGGTGGTCTATCCATCCACTTCCCCTCATGCACTGTTACACATTTCCGCGTGTTTTGTTGGAACAGAGAACCACAAATGCCATGAAGCGTCTTCCCTATTTCATCCCAGAGACAGCGGGCCGACCCAGCCCCGTGTCCCGCCTGTTACAGGACAAACCCTCGCGTCACTCATGAGAGAAGGGAACACCGACAACCACCAACCCCAAAACCTCCCGGCCGCAGTTGGGGGCTCCTCCAGGACGGGGGTGCCGCTCCACCCCGCGCCTCCCTGGGCAGGGTCCCGCTCCCGGCGGCGGGGAGGGCGCGGGGCGGGTGCGGCGCTCCCGGGGCCGCAGGTCCGGGCGGGGAGGGGGAGACGAGGGGAGCCGTGCGCGGAAGGGACTGCCTCGATGGGCTTGAAAAATCACTGCAGCAGCGGCGGCGGGCTGGTGGGAGATGCACTGCCCGGGCTGCGCGGCCGCGCCGCTCTCCCCGCCTCTCCCCTCCGGCTCCGGCCCTGCCTCTTTTTTTCCTCGCCTGGCTCCAAACTTTTCCCGCTCCCCTCCCGTGTGAGCGGGAGCCCCGAGCTCAGCGGTGAGCGCCGGCCGGGAAGCGCCCGGCACGGAGAGGTTGCCGGCGGCGACAGCCGGAGCATCCCGGGGAGGGGAAGCCGGCGGGGCGGGCGGGGAGGGAGGCGGGCAGGGCGGGGGTGGAGGCGCGTCTCCCTGCTGAGGGAGCCGGGACGTGCAGGGTTCTGGGTTTTCCCGACCACTCTTTCCCCTCCCCACCCGCCCATCTCCCTGCCTCCCTCCCCCCCTCCTTCCCTCCCGCCTTCCCTCCCTCCCCTCCAGAATTAAAGTTGGGACAGTCGCGCTCCGGGGATGGGTGCGAGCCAACGCCTCTGCTGCCGGCTCGCTCTGCTCCCTCCCCAGGTCGCCCGGAGCCCGCGCCCCCGCCCGCCCGCCCAGGAGGGATGCTGCTCCGGCAGCTGCTGGGGCTGCTCCGCTGCTGCTGGCCCTCCCTGCTGCTGCACTGTGCCCTCCACCCGCTCTGGGGGTCCCTCCAGGTAGGGCCGCCCGAGCCCGCTCGCAGCTGCGGGGCGCGGGGGCGGCGGGGCCGGGGCGGGGGAAACGCGGGGGCGCGGGCAGAGCCCCTCCGGCACCCCCGGCAATGCCGGGAGCAGGCCGTGGCGGGGCGGTGGTCGCGCAGGCGGCCCCACAGCCGGGAGAGCCGCTGCTGTCCCCGGAGAGGGCCCCCCTTGCCGGTGCTGCGGGACGGGCGGCCGTGCCAGCCCCGGAGCGCTGAACTCGGTCCGAGAGCGCTCGCTCCCAGCAGGATGGAGTTGAGTTTCTTCGGCGCGCCGGCGGTCGGAGGGCTGGGGAGCGCATTTTGCTGTAGGTGGCAAGATGCACGGGAAGAGGCAGCGGCGGAGCGGAGCCCCGGCGGCCGTGCCTTGCCGCGGGGTTTCGGTATTGATTGCGAATTGAATGGAGGGTTTTCTGGGTAAAGGGCTGAATCAGCTTTTGCCAACCCCGAAGCCGTGGTCTTGTGTGACCTTGATTGTAATGTGGGTGGCCAGCAAGAGAGACTGGGAGAAATTGGTACACAGTGAGGGAGAGCGCCCATCCAGTTTGGAGAATCAGGACAGCAGCAAAGCTCATCTCAAATGCGTCACTTCGATATTTCAAAGTTTATTTATAATATAAGTCTTCTGAGAAGTGGTTGATGAGCCAGCCAAGTGCCGTTCAAGAACAGACCAATTACAGTTTCTTTCTTGGAAAAACAAAGTGGAGACTCCACATCTTTTACTCCCTGATCTAAACTTAGTGACTCCCAAGAGATTAGAGAGATGTTGTTTGTTTTAGCATCTTGTCTCTTGCCATGAATGACAAAGAGGATTTGTGCTCCTTGTGGATTAAGATGAACAGAAATACAACAAAAACAGCCTTTAAAGCAATGTCCTGTCATTAAAATTTCTGCCAGCACTACCTTCCTGCTGTCCTCCTCTAGTATTTAGATAGCTAATCTTAAGTTAAACTATAGCTGAATTTCTCAGGGAAGCACAGTTGGATGAGAAGAGATGCCTCCTGCAACCTCTTCCCTATCAGTCAATTGAGCAGAGAAAAAAACCCCTTGGATAAACATATTTCTGGCAAACTACTCGCATGATCTAAAGTTATTTTTCTAAAACAATTACATTTATAAAAATTGAAACAGGCTCTGAGAAATACGAAAGCCAAGGAGCTCACCAGCCTTTCCTTGCAATAATTTGTTATTTGGATGAATGACCCATTCATCAACTGTGCTTGTGCAATTGCCCGCTGTTCTGTGGAAGAACAAACACTAAGCCTGCTTTTTTCCAGTTTTCCCAAAACTAGGCTCCCGTCAGCAGATTCCAATGGGGAGGGCAGGTGTGGAACACTCACTGGCATGCCAGCCTTCCATCCTTCCTGTGACTGAAATTCCTTCATGGTTGAACCCCTCCCATGGTTCCCTTCCCCATGTTGAGTCATAATCCTTGCTCTTATCTTCTCACAAGCCGTTATCTCCTTGACTAATTCTGTGCTGTTGCATCGTTGCTCCCCTGCCCTGCTCCATCTCTAGCAGCAGGCGTGTTGTGTTTGTTTTCTCGCATCCCCCAGCCCCTCTGCATGCATTTGTCCCCACAATGACTTACTGTGGCATAGCCTTCCCTCCCACCTCAGCTTTCCCTCCTTGAGACACTTAAAAGAATCAGTCAGATGCTAATCACAGGAGAAACATTTGTCTTACTAAAACCAAAACCAAAACAAACCCACAATCTTTTCTTATTAGCGTGGTAGCCAGTTCTGTGACCAGAGGGAAGGGATGATTCTGTCGGAGGCTTTTGACATAATTTTAAAAAGTGCAGAAAGAGTCATGATAAATAACAGGAACACATTTTTTCTGGTTTTGTAAACATGGATCTGGATTAACGGATGTGAATTGCACAGAGCTGTCCTGGGATTTATGCAGCAGCAGTGAGATCTCATCTCATCTCATCTCTGTAGACTGCTACCAAGAGACAAAGCTCTTGCTACATCAGCAGGCTTTTAGAGGTCTCTGTGCCTTCAGTCAACTGCACTTTTCTGTTAAAGCTTTCCTCCTTTTACCTGATTAAAAAAAGTCACAAGAAGGCCACCCTCCAGGGACTGTATTAATCCTCTTTTCCCATCCCACTCTGTAGAACGTGCTTGTGGACTGCTGCAACCCCATGGGACTCTACTGAAATACTAAACAGTTCTGACCACATGCAGATTTATTCTTCCGTGGTATGCAAAACAGGACTAGGATCACTGTTTCTAAAAGAAATTGTGGATTAAAGAGAAATATTCCACAGACATAAACTTCAGAGACAGACTGCAAAAGGAAACCACCAGTTACCACTTTCTGTTTGTTCTTCCCTGGACATTTGTGGATCAGATTTTCATTTCCATAAATATTTTAAAACATTTGTTCTTTTTGCAAAACACGTTCACATCAAATGCACAAATCCATAAAAGTCAACTCTATGTATTTTCAGAGCAGGGGAAAAATGCATCAGCTTGAAGTCCAGGCAGCATATGCCTAGACTGGCCAACTGCTCAGTGTGCTAAGAAAGCCTCGTGCCAAGCAAGCAACCAAGTTTCATATAGGCCAAGAGAAGGTGTTCATGGCCCCTCCAGCAGCAGAGGAATGGCTGGGAGAGCTAGGGAGCAAACCCTGTGGATCCATCTCCAGAGTGATCCCTTGCCAAGGCAACCCCTGTGCCACACACTGCCTGGCAGCCTGCTGGAATTCCAGTTAACCTTACCTGCAGAGCTCTTCCACAGCCATTCTGGGGCCATGGGAGAGTCTGCCAGAGCAAATAACCAGTAAAGTGTGAGGCCAGATTCATTTAGTTGACCTGGCCATAGAAAGGTGTGGCTCTGTCAAAACACTTCTCCTGCCACATGCTGTAAAGGCAGTTTACCTTGAATTGCAAGCAGTAAGAAAGAAACAATGGAGTATTATTTCATCATTTCCTGACAGAGCAAGATTGTTCCCTAAAGCATATTTTCTAGTGATTTTTTTCTGCTTACCTTTAGAAGACACAAGTAATAGCCTTCATTTCTTTCATAAGAAGACTAATAGACATCAACAGGGAGATTTTTTTTTCCTTGAAAAGGAGCAAAATGCCTTCCTTTTTTCCCTGATTCTATCTTGCTACTGTTATCTGCTGCTTTATATTACTGTTAGTATTCTGTCCTCTTGCTGCAGTCCTTGACTATTTCTCTCCTCCCTGAGGCCCTCAACCTTGATTTGTGTATTTCCTTTTCTTGGCAGATTTCAACCAACTTAAAATATCTTTGTTTTTAAAACAAAGCCTTTAAGACAAACCCATCAAGGTAATATTTATGTCCTACTTCTATCTTCTAACAACCACACATTTCACCCAGTGACAGGAGAAGGGAAACAAATAGGTGATAAAGCCCATGCTTTTAAATGTCAGTTCTTTCCTGGCTATTTAAAAATGATCATGGGAAATTGTTATAGAGGTTCAGGCTAAAGTATTGAGAAATAAAGCAACTTTTCCTTTTTTTTTTTTTTTTTTTTTTTTTTTTTTTTTTTTTTCTCTAAAATAATATTTTTAAAGTAGACAGGAGCAGGAGTAGCAAGTGACTGGCCATGATAGTGTTAATCTTGTCTGAAAAGTAATTGAGAAAATTATCCACTATTTTCTGAGGACACTCTATTACCAGCCTAAGGGAGGAGAGCCTCCAGGGATTTAAAAGTAGTCAATAGCTCTAAAAAAAGACAGAGCAAGTCTTTCCTTCTGCTTGATATTAAGTTAGAGCAGTAAGTCAATGTAGCTTTGTCATACCAGCACCGTCTTCAAACTTACATATGCAAAGCTGCTTCTGATCTGCAAAAGAAGCTGGCTCCAAGTCTGCTCAGGGTTATTCTTCCCTGTGTCCATCTTCTCCCATCTCACTGTCCCCTGCGTGACTGCCCTGAGCTCTCAGGATTCGATAACCCAGGGCCCAGGCTGTAGCTAGGAGTGAATAGCTGCTTCCTAATCAGCTGCCAGCGCCACCGGAGAGGTGTTGCCCCACCTCCTTCTGTCAGCACAGTAAATTTGTCACACCTGTTGAACAAGGAGGGCCCCCAGGTATGCCCCCACACTGCAGGGAAGGACACTTCTTCCACAGGGCTGTTCCTGGGAGCATGCCTTGAACCCCAGACCCTCGTGTGAGCAGTGTTGGAAGAGCTGAAGCAGCATGGAGGATATTCTGCTGCCTGGGATCACTTACTTTAAAAACAAATAAACCTTCTTAGCTGACAGATTTATTACTAGTCATGAGGGATTACACAGCCAAGTCACTTTGATTCATTAGAGTGTTCAGAGTTTGTGTAAGTTCCTGGAAGCTGTCTGGGATGATCTTTAACCATCCTCTTACTGTTACCTGATGGTGAAGGGGAAAGTTGGAAAGCACTTGTGCTGAATTTGTTTTTCCCTATGTTTGGTAATAGATTTAGACAAGCTGTTTAAAGAACTGAGCCTTCTGCCTTATGCTGTGCTGAGCTGTCCTTCCAACTTAGCTACACGTAGCCTTTTCTATTCTTTGCTCCCTCCCTATAATATTTAATCAACAAAGCCCTACCTCCATTTCCCTGAGGCCAGAGTAATGCGTCTTTCTGCATTTAGAAACCTCCTACGCATGTGAGCACGTCCTTTGTGCAGTGATGCTGTTTTAATTAGCCACGTCTCTCTTTTTGGCCAGAAATACATGAAACAATGTGTACAGCTTTCCTGCAGGGCAGGGCAGCCCCCTTGGTGCTCAGCTGTGGGCCGTGGAACAGGCACGCTGGCCGTGCTGGGGGCCAGGGTTGGAAGGGGAGAGGAGACAGACGGTGTGCCCAGAGCTGGCAGGGACAGGGAAACAAAACTTGGGCAGCAGAGAGAAGTGGGGAGAAGGCAACCCTGGGTGACCCTGCCATAGAGGCATGAGAAGCCTGCCTAAAACAGATCAGAGAGCATGGCATGAGACATCCTCTTTGTAATGACCAACGTGTTGTGGAAAAAAGCTAATTAAAGAAGGTGATGTTAGGCCAAAACTATTAGGACAATAACTCGCCTGAGACCAAACTTGACAAGAAAATATGCTAGCATAACTGTCCTTAGCTTCAGCAGGACACCAGTCTGTCCCAGGCGGTCTCCTAATGCTTACATTCAAAGTGCTTGTTAGATAACATGCTTGTTAATCTTTTAGGCTTTGCTTTGTCTCTTCGAAATTGTATCCTGTATAAGTCATTCAGAAAGAGCTGGCTTAGAGACCTCTGAAGTTAACACCTCTCAGAAGCCTCTGTGATGCTCAGCAAATTTCCTTTTCATTGGGGACTAACTCCATTTTGAAACATTACATTTTACCGAATTTTACTGAATATTCCTTTAATCCCTAGTTATGTAAATATTTCTATGATAAGAAAAATATGCTGTTAATAAATAGTCCTTGTCGTGACTAGATCAAGCTACTGAATATATTGTATACCAGTACTGGCTAAATCATTGCTCATGGCCAAGTGATGTTTATGCTTGGGTTCTGCAATGCCTCATCTTCACTTTTATTATTAACCAACACTGCATCTCACAGGAGGCTACAATGTGGCATTTCCATTTAAACCATGTCATTGCTGTGGTCCACAGATGATTAAAATGTGGGTAGCCTCCCCTCTTGGCAGGAAGTGAAACACCCCGTGGAATGCTCTCTAAACTTCCAAGTGAGGCTGGCGAAGCAGAGGAGGGATGTCCTCTGGCTCTCAGTTCTGTCTTAAGGAAAATGAACATAATCCTGACCCTAACTGTCTTGTAATTTTTAATAGCTCTCTTTGGCTTGCAGCAATGACCCTGTGAATAATGCATGCTGCTAGATGGCTTTCCTAAGGAAAGAAGGCTTATGCAATCGTATTGTCTGCCACTGCCTGCCTTCTCCTTAGCCCATAATAACTCAGAAACCAGCTGGCCAATCTCAACCAAATTTGACTGAGGGAAAGAGTTCTTGAAGAGATTGTGTTAAATAAAAGAAATATTACAAATGTGGGCCATGTAGGGAAGGGGCATCTTAGGAGCTTTAGCTCAGTTCTCGCTACAGGTTTGAGGTGCCACTCAGGTACTCAAGCCTAAAAAACACATTCATCAGTTTTCACTCTTCTGCTGCTCATGCAATGACTTGTTTCTTCACAGATCACTCAGGGTGAACCCCAGAAGTCATGCTCCAAGCCTGTAGCAGAGAAATTTACAGAGAGCTGCCCGGAAATTTGCCAGTGCAGGCCACCTCCTCTGTTACCACCGCCTCCTCCACCTCCGCTGCCCCCGAGGTTGCTGGCGGTGCCAAGTAAGTAGCTGCTGATGCTGCTGGGGTGTGCTGAAGGAGGGCAGAGCACGGGGACACCTGGACAGACAGCAGAAGTGATGTGGGAAAGGGCACAGCTAGCTCATTTGTCATTTTCCACTTAGCAAATGGAAGAAGAAATGTTCTCAGTAGAGATGGAGATCTGTTTTCTGATCAATGAATAATGCTTGACTTTTGGAGGAAAGCCAGAGAAATTCCCTCCTTTCACTGTGTTAGATATGATTCCCTGGTTTTACATGGTTCCCTAATCCCCTAGCCCTGGGAAATGCATTCCTGCAGAGACACAGGGCTGTGCTGCCCCCTCAGTGTCATGACCCCTTTTTTGCCAGGTGTGCAGCTTGAAGGTCTGGGTGCTCCAAGGCAAATTAATTTATAAGCAGACAAAAATCCAAACACTCTGTCTAGACCATTCAGTATGTTTGACTGTTGTCAAGACACTGGGGCACTACAGTTTACCATAGCAGTGACTCAGGCTCACTGGTTTTAAATTGATTACAACTGTTACAAAAATAGGAGGCATGTCAGGAGTCAATGGCAAGTGAGCAGCTTTCCCACTAATGCACATGCAGGCTAAGACTCATCTCTTTCTCTTCATACAAGTCAGTGTTCCCAAGCCTTACTCAGTGCATCCGAGCTCCTCCTTATTTCCAGCTGTACATCCCCATGCCCAGCACACCTGGTGCCTTCAGTTCCTGCTGGCTAGCTCTGCAGCTGCTTTCCACATCAGTATTCCTGTGATCCCTGGCATACAGATAATTTCTGGAGAGCGACATCTGTCCCCATGGTCCCTGCACTGTGGGAGAGACCTTCCTGGTTCTACTGCACCCACTGGGTTCAGGGAGTTTGGTGTTCCAGTAAATCTCCTTAATGCTTTTGCATTTTCATAAATTCGTCTCTCCCTGTAAGGCTGCCTATTAATTCTTCTCCCTGCTTATGTAAACTCCCCTGGGAGCAGTGTTGCAAAGTGTATCCAGTATCCTCAGCACTTCCTCCAGGGAAAAATAAATCATTAGGTATCATCATCTGGCTGTTTGTCTTTATCAGCGGCAACTCCAGATGTGCAGAAGACATGAAGAAGGCTTCTGCACAGCTTGTAGTCAGGCAGAGGACAAGCAGAATTTTTCAGTGTCTTTTCTGCCAGGAGCATGCTTTGTACTTGTGCTACACTGCAGAAAATTAAGGCAAAGGCAAAGAAAAGCCAACAGTGAAACACTTGGGAAAGGAAGTACAAAGACAGCTGGGAAAGCAGAAAGGGATAGTTTTTAGAGCAGGAAAAATCTCTTTCAATGTTCAGGAAAATGTCAGGGGCAGTAATATGGAAAATTACCTTGATCTTTGTATCACAGCCAGAAAATAAAGTACTTTGTCACTCTCTTTTCTTGTGCCTGGGGTGCCCTGTTACCCTGAGGGGGATGAGATGTGGCAGTGTTGGCACAGGGACCAGCCCTGCTGACCAGCTGTACTGGGAAGGGAGCACCACTGCCAGGCTGCTTCCCCTCCATCAGGCAGCTGCTCTGAGTGCATGGATTTGTCCCCTGTCAAGTGGGAAGTAAATCATGTCAGAAAAAAAGAAGTCTGTGACACATTGCAGAAAGAAGAACAAGAAATCTAATGGGCTTGTGACTGGGATAGCCTGATGCTTTCTCAGGCTGGATTGCCAGGTGCTAACACAGTTCTAAAAATGAGCTATATAAATCCAGATGACTAATACTTAAGGAAGTGGCTTCATTTCAAATACAATGAAAAAAAGAGATTACACATTTCTTTCACTGGTAAGCTTTAGAGTAGCAATCAAGTGTCTCATCTTGAATGATGCTTTCATTATCATCAGCTGTCTAGGCACTGTGATTTAGTCCATGTGTACAGCAATCCACTTCCTTGGGAGAAACAACAAGCCTTGTGGTTAAATATTGATGTTATAGACACTGCTTTTAAAAGGTATTCAGAGGAGAGGAAAGTAAAGAGCCAAAAGCTATTGTGAAGTGGTTGGTGCTAGATTTGCACTTTGAACTTGCTAAGTGAATGAAGTTTAGTACTGGAAAGACATCTGCAAAAAAGCAGCAGTCCAGGAGCTGCAAGATTTTTACCCTTACAAGGTACAGTGTGTGTGTCATGAGGTACTACATAAAAATGCTGGAATTGCTTTCAGAGCTTTGTGAGCCACAAAAGGCTGCAGTCTGCTAGGTACTGTCCTTAAAAGCTCCCTCTGCAATCAAACTGAATATTGCTGGAGATTTAGATCAACTCTAAAGCAGCTACCATGGTTTGGGCTGGGTGGTTAAAGCCAAGAGATGCAAAAATCCTGCCTCTCCAGTCACTGCAGACCCTGACAGCTCAGTTTTCTGCTGTATGAAGCATCTAGTGCTCTTTGACGTGGCCTCAAGCTGCTGTTGTGGAAAATCAGAGAACCCTCTGATGTGTCCTCTCTATTAGTCTCACCTGATTGTTTTACAAACCCTACTTGGTTTGTATGGGATGGCACTGCATAACTGTTTGTGAGCAGCTGAATCACTCCCTGAAAGGCTTTTATTGTGCTGTGAGGACTTTTAGGAACAATTATAGTACATTTAGTGTCTCTTTACACACTTCAGTATTGACAGGTTGATCCAGCAACAAATCTTTAGTTGTGCTTCCTGCAGATAGATTTATACAGAATCTATTAAATTAAATTAAATCTAGAGAATCCTAGAATTCACATATAATAGCTGGAAAATGCTGTGTTTACTCTGAGGGGAAATAACCTAATTCCCTCTGGAGAAAATGAGTAGAATCACACAGCTTAGCAGGCAGTCTAAAACCAAAGCAGTGTTAGGAGCACCAGCTTTCCCTGGTTTAGGAGACACCTCCCTGTTAGAGTTGGGTACTTACATTAAGAACGTGTGGGGAGTGTTTCAGCACATCCTGAGGAGGCACTGAATAAGTGAATGAAACCGCATGACTATGGGAAATTAAATAGAGTGCTTTTTTCCTCCTTCAGGGATGACCCCAGGTCTCCTTTCCCTACATTTTTAACTCCTTCACACGGACCACTTGCATTTATGGTGCCCCATCCAACCTCTGATCTTGACTTCACTGCCTCTGCTCTGCAGCCAATTCCATCACGGCAGCACAACCCTGTGCCTCCTCCTGGGAATCCATCTGCCTTACAGTATCCAGATGAGAGATGCCATCAGCCATGCTGGGTCTCTCAGTACTGCTGGTTCACCTGCACCTTTTCCTGCAAAGTGGGACACATGGGCTGTTTGAGCTTTGACTTCCCTGACCTTCATTTCAGGTGTAGTTTTTTGTCATCCCATTGAGATGCTGCTGTCTGATTTGATACAGATGTGTACCTTACCCAGGGGCTGAGGAGAGGGACTCCAGCCCATGTTAGGAGTGCCTAGGATGCTGGGGAGTGTGTGATGGTGGGGGCTGTCAGGAGACATGGTCCCTGAGCCCGTGGCAGCTCCTGCAGACGGTTTGGCACATCGATGTTTCCGGAGTAACTGCCCTTATGCAAGCAGCAGCCTGCTCTTTAACCCATGCCTAGAAAACTGCTCCTTGATGAAGTGAAGGGAAAGCTCATGAGGCTCTGAGGGGCCTAAGGCCAACTAAACTTAGATGCTGACAGCAAAGGAAGAAGGAACTTTCAATGAAATTGAGTGTGTTCCCTAGATATGTCTGTAATGACCTGAAGGCAATAGAGATGCTCAGAACCTGGCCTTTAATTAACTGTGTCTTTTTCTCTCCATCTGCTTTTCTCCTTGTCTCTGGATTTCAGCCAAGACTAAGACAAGGTGGATGGAATACTTGTTTAGGCAGCATTTCTAACCAGGCTTCATGGGCCCATGAGATTAAGCTAGTTCAAATGATGTTGACCCTTAAAAATCTGAAAAACTGCTGTTGTCAAACCTTAAATACTCTGTGAGCATGCAGGTTTCTCCAGAGGCATTGCAAAGAAGAAAGGACTTTGTCTGGAAGTAAAAGCCAGGCTTTCAAAACAGGAAAGGGGGAAGGGGTTAGAGCTAGATATACACAGTAGTCAGTATCAGTTTTAACCTGTGTAAGGTCTTATGAAAAAAATATCAGAAGTGACTTCTTTAAAAATGGTACAAGGAAGAGAAAGGATGTTCTTGACTGGACTCCTCACTTGTTGGTGAGCAACATTTGCTGTCTCTGCTTTACCTTTCTCCCATATTGGACAAGGAGTCCATGGTGTTGCCGTCTGCTCTCTGGATGAAGGAAGTGTTCATTCAAACATTGCTTCAGTCAAAATTTAGAGGAGGAAGCTTGAGCTGAGTCTGGATACATGAACCAGTCTCTGGTGGTTGGATGCTGGCACATAGGTGCACAGTGAAGTCTTTACAGCTCCTGACCTTAGTGGAAGTTTGCCCTGAGCTGTCAGCTGAGATCAAGCACAATCATGTCAGTGCAAGGCCAAAGTGAATGACATCACTGCAGAGGACTCTAATCTCCATGCAGTAATTGTATAATTTTGTTTTTCAGAGTGAAATCTTTATCTCTGGAGACAGAGCATCTAATTAACTAATTATTTGGACTGGTGAAAATGCCAAAATAAAAATGACCAGCTACAAGAAGGGTGAAACCTTTTGGCAGCTGTATGAGCTCAGATGTACAGCCTCATTTCAGAAAGCCTGTAGGGTCCCTTTAGTGCAAGTAGGAAAGATAAGGGCATTCAGATCTTTTGGGACAGATTGTAGATTCATAAAATGGTTCAGGTTAAAAGGACTGTAAAGATCATCTAGTTTCACCCCCCTGCCATGAGTAGTGATACCTTCCCCTAGACTAGGATCCTCAAAGCCCCGTCCAAACAGGCCTTGAACACTTCCAGGGATGGGGAAGTGCTCCTTGAACACTTCTGGACAACCTGTTCCAGTACGTCACCACCTACACAGTAAAGAATTTATTCCTAACATCTAATCTAAATTTATGATCTTCCAATTTAAATCCATTACCCCTTGTCCTTAGCCATACATGCCATT